TTCCCCAAGTCATACGTTCTCCAAGATTCTGTTTTCTGGTGATGTCATGAGACTAACATTGGGACAGTTCCTCATCGCTTAGGATATTTTATTTTCTTCTTTTCTCTTTTGTCTTTCTCCTCTTTTCTACTTTAATCAGTATTTTCTCCATTTTGATACATGTGGAGCTGGGTTCTGACCACCACTCCAGCCCTTCTTTTTAACATAGCAAACCAAACCAATCATATCACAACTTCTTTATTACTGAGACTCATCAGTATTTCCTCACTTTGTTTCTTTTTTCCAATTACAGTTTACATTCAATATCATTCTGCATTAGTTTCAGGTATACAGCATAGTGGGTAGATAATCATATTCTTTAGTGCTGTCCCTGATACTTCCAATACCCACTTGGCACCAAACATAGTTATTACAATATTATTGACTATATTCCCCTATGCTGCACTTCAAATGTACATGATTAATTTGTAACTACCAATCTGTACTTCTCAATCCCTTCACCTTTTTCACCCAGACCCCTAACCCTCTTTCCCTCTGGCAAACATCAATCTGTTCTCTGTATCTGTGAGTCTGTTTTTGTTTTATTTGTGTGTTTATATTGTTCTTTAGATTCCACATATAAGTGAAGTGTTTCCTTAATTTGAATTCTGGCTGTTCCATAATGTATAGAATGTCAGAAATATAATATAGTGGAAATATTTCTGTTTCAATTTAGGACCATCAGAACTGTTAATGCAATTTTGATAAATACCTCTCAGAACACTGAAGAAACATTAAACAAAACAGATAAGGAATCCTTTCAGAATTAAAGTTCCTTTATTTTTCAAGTACTTAAAACAGTCAAGACCAATGTCTTTTATTACCAATTCACAGAACTATTTTTTTCAAATTAAACTTTTTGAGATAATTATAAATTTATATGCATGTGTAAGGAATAATAAAGTTTCATGTACTCAGTTTCTCTCAATGGTAACATGTTACAAATCTATAGTACAATATTAAAACCAAGATATTGACATTGACACTGATACAATTCACTCATCTTAATTTCCCCAGTTTTGCTTGTGCATGAGTGTGTCTTTGGCTCTATGAAATGTTATTACGTAAGTAGGGTCAATTATCCACCACAGAGCCAACATAAAGAACAACTCTGTGACCAAAAAGATTCCACTCATGGCCCTTTCATACCCCTCCGCTCATGCCCTCCCTCTTTACCCCTAACCCATGGTACCACTAATCTGTTCTCCATTTCTATAATTTTACCGTCTCAGAACTGTTATATAAAGAAATCAACCAGTATGTAATCTTTTATGATTAGCTTTTTGCACTCAGCATAATTCTCTGGAGATTCATCTCAGCTATCACATGTTTCAACAGTTTATTCTTTTTTATTGCCAAGCAGTATTCAACAAGTAACTTGTTTTCTTTTATTGATTATGCTATTGCAGTTGTCCCAGTTACTCCCTATTTGCTCCCCTCTACCCGGCACCTACCCACTCCTTCTGGTCATCCCCCCTCCTTTGCTCATGTCCATGGGTCAAGCACACAAGCTTTTTGGCTACTCTATTTTCCTATACTACTCTTAATATCCCCATCTATTCTGTACCTACCAATTTGTACTGTTAATCCCTGTACCTTTTCCCTCATTCTCCCAGAACACAGACACCATCCCAATGTTCTCCATATTTATGATTGTTTCTGTTCTACTTGTTTGCTTAGTTTTTTAGATTCAATTGTTAATAGCTGTGAATTTACTGCCATTTTAATGTTCATAGTTTTGACCTACTCCTTTTTCTTATATAATTCCCTTTAGCATTTCATACAATAATGGCTTAGTGATGCTGAACTCCTTTAGCTTTACCTTGTCTGGAAAGCACTTTTTCTGCCCTTCTATTCTAAATGATAGCTTGGCTGAACAGAGTAACCTAGGTTGTAGGTCCTTGCTCTTCATCACTTTGAATAGTTCTTGGCAGTCCCTTCTAGCCTGCAAAGTTTCTTTTGAGAAATCAGCTGACAGTCTTATGGGATCTTCTTTGTAGATAATCACCTGCTTTCCTCTTGCTCCTTTTAAGATTCTCTCTCTCTGCACCTGGCTGGTGTAGCTTAGTGGATTGAGCGCAGGCTGCGAACCAAAGTGTCACAGGTTTGATTCCCAGTCAGGGCACATGCTTGGGTTGCAAGCTCCAGCCCCCAGCACCGCACATTGATGTTTCTCTCTCTCTCTTTCTCCCTCCCTTCCCTCTCTAAAAATAAATAAATAAAATCTTTTTTTTTTTTAAAGATTCTCTCTTTCTCTTTAACTTTTGGCATTTTAATTATGATGTGTCTTGGTGTGATCCTCTTTATGTCTGTCTTGTTTGGGATTCTCTGTGCTTCCTGGACTTGCAGGTCTATTTCCTTCACCAAATTAAGGAAGTTTTCTTTTATTATTCTTTCAAATAGGTTTCCAATTTCTTGTTTTTTCTCTTCTTGTTCTGGCACCCCATGACGTGAATGTTCAAATGCTTGAAGCTGTCCCAGAGGCTCCTTACCCTATCCTCAGATTTTTGGATTCTTTCTTCTTGCTGTACCAATTGAATGTCTTTTTCTTCCTTACATTCCGAATCATTGATTTGATTCTTGGCTTCATTCACTCTGCTGTTGATTTCTTGTAAAATGTTCTTTATTTCAATTAGTGTCTCCTCCATTTCTGATTGGATCATTTTATGCTGTTAAAGTACCCACTGATTCCTTGAGCATCCTTATAACCAGTGTTTTGAACTCTGCATCTGATAGATTGCTTATTTCCACTCTGTTTAGTTCTCTTTTGGTGTTTTCTTGTGCTCTTTCATTTGGGCCATATTTTTTTTGTCTCTTGATTTTGGCAGCCTCCCAGTGTTTGTTTCTATGTATTGGGTAGAGCTGCTTTGACTCTGTGCCTTGGTAGCATGGCCTAATATAGTAGGTGTCCTACAGAGACCAGTGGCACTGCCTCCCTATCCCCCAAGCTGGGTACTCAAGGTGTAACCTTCTATGTGGGATGAGTGCTCCCTTCTCTTTAGTTGAGCCTTGATTGCTGTCAGCAGGTCAACGGGAGGGACTTACCCAGGCCACACAGCTGGTAGGACTGGCTGTGACCCCTGGCGAGCAAACAACTTCTTCCATGGCTTGTGGAGGTGGTTGGGTGGTGTTGCACTGACATGTCTGCAATTGTTCACTGGGTACATAGGTTCTTGGGTTTCCCAGGTGGTGAAGGCCAAGGTCAGCCACCAACTGTGTTCTGTCTGGGGCCCCTTGGAATAAGCTTTAAAACAATCTGCAGATGGCTGATGCTAGTGCCAAGCCTGGGGTCACTCAGAAAGAGGTACTGGGGGGCTGGGCTCAACTGTTGCATGTTTGAGTGGATTTAGGAAGGTCTGAAGTCTGCACCTAGCTATTCATATGGAAAAGCCACTGTTACCAGCTTGGGTGGTCCCATAAGTTGGACGTGGTAAAGCCTTAAGTAATCATCAGTTTACCTAAGGGGCTAACCGTGTGAGCCAGGTTGATGGACATTCAGATATGGTGCTGAGGCACTGTGGCTCTTTGTGGGGGAGGAACAATGGCCACTGTCTGTAGTTCTGTCCAGGAGGAAGCTGTCTGCCAGCTGTAGCTCTAATGCCAGATATTTCAGTTCCTCCCCATAAGCCCTTAGTATCCTTCAAGGTACTGCCCCAGTGCTGGAGCCCAGAGGGAGTGGGTTTGAGTAAATCTGTGTGTGGGACCCTCCAAGAGGAGATACCTGAGAATCCCACAGTCTCTTCTGCTGACCCAACCCCCACTGGTTTGTAAGCCAGAAGTTATGGGGATTTATCTTCCTAGCACTGGAACCATAGGCTGGGTGGTCTGGTGTGAGGTTGGGATCCCTCACTCCCAAGATATTCTTCCTTTTATATCCACCACACGTGGTTTGGGACCAGCCCATTCTTCATCTCCATGTCCCCATCCCTCTGTCCCTCCTATCCATCTGGATGAATTCGTTTCTTCAATTCTTTAGTTGTCAGACTTCTGTACTGCTCAATTTTTTGATGGTTCTGATGATAGCTGTTTTGTAGTTTAACTGTAATTTTGCTATGGTTGTGTGAGGAGGTGAGCCATCTTTACCTGCACCTGCATCTTGTCCAGAAATCTCACAGAACTATGTTGAACATTGATCTTAACCATAATAATTTTGATTAATTTCATACAATAATTGTTACATATTACATATTAGACTGAAACATATTGATCATTTGCATCTGATTAAATTTCATTAAATAAGTGTCCATATATCATGATAGTGCTATCAATTACAATTTTCATACTTCAAAAATAATAACAAAAATGTACACATAAATTTAAGTCAAAACCCAAGTTCAATTCATTTCTTAGAAGCTATTATATATCAACCTCTAAATATCTGGGGCCCTTTCTCTTACTCATGGCCCTCTTTCCAACATATACCTGAAGGATGCATTTAACTGGCTCCACAATAGTTACCCATGTAACCAGAGCTGCTGATAGAAAATGAAAAAAAAAAAAAGAAAAAAATTCTCTCTCTTCCCCACCTTTCTTCAGCCTTTTCATGTTAAATTTGACTTTTACAACCAATCTTCCTGATTCCCTCTCTCCTAGCTTTATCATATAAAGAAAACCTGAGAACTGACATAAGTAAATGTTTGGTCCCGTTTTGACTCTAATTAATAATCAATTTGAACACCCATCTTTTTATGACCCCGTCTTATTTTGTCCTCCAGTATGATTCATTTACTTACTTCTCAGCTTCCAACTGACATAGATTCTCAGGATCTCAAAAATCCACTGAACTACTTTTTTCCTGTCAGTCATTAACTAGCAAAAATATTCACAAGTTAGCTTCATCATTAAAATGCTATGCAAAAGCATATTTGTTTCTAGAGAGTCATTATTTACAACATATAAACGTTAATTTTCAGTTCTTTATTAGTTTTATATAAGTTAATTTTAAATAAAAGTTAACTTACTATTTTTTTCTTCTGGGATTTTAAATCATCCAATGCTTCATCTAGAAAACAAGATTTAAACAAGATATCAGATATTAAGATACTTAATATAAGAAAAAACATGGCAAATGATATTCACATTAACCAACCATAAGAAAACTTTCTTATTTTAGTATTTCTCACCAATCTGTACAGATAAAAATTATTTCAATCTTTACCTATATATTTCATATTTTTGCCTATATTATATATTACAATCTAAGTAGAGAAAAAAATTGCCTTAACACAGACTACAACACCTTTCCAAGTTTAAAATATATATATATATTTAAAATGTTTTCAGAAACATTACTATTATTTCTCCTTCCTTTCAACATCCTACCCAAATTCACAAAATTAATACTAAAATTAATATATTAGTAATAAAAATGTTCTCTTTGTTTATAAGGAAAGAAGTGCATAATGTATTTTATTAAGTTACTCAACCTTCAAGATATTGAGCACTAATAAAAGAAAATCTTTTGAAAATTTATAATATATCTGAGGAGGAGCTTGGAAAGGAAGGGACTACTAAGCACTTTTCAAATTAAACTTTTCTAAGATTTATCTATTTATTTAGGTTGTCATGGTGAAGAATCAACTCAAAACAATGTAACTTATAAATGTCATTGTCTGCTTTACAAATATATTTTAGGTTTCTAATTTTTATATAAAAATATTGAACAAGCACAAACAGTAGTACTACTCCAGCTGCACAAAAAAGTTATAACTTGATTTAATATTTTATCAAAGAGAATTTAAATAATTCTTAATTTTTAATTAAATTTATAAATAAAATATTTTCATTGAAGTTGTGGGATAGCAAACATTTGAATATCCAATTCAAAGTATTTTATTTATATGAAAGTCCAATAACATACAAATTTATAGAAAAGAGGATTTTAACATAATTTTTTTTTCAAAATAAATATTAAGGAGTCTTTAATAAGCTAGCAGACTTGTTACTAAAGGGAGGGAAATCTGCTCATCTAACATTTTTAAAAAGAACAGTCATCTTATTCAGGTAAGACAAAGCCAAATATCTGACTTTTATTCCAGAGGTCAATAAACTTTCTCTGTTAAACACCACACTGTAAATATTTTAGCTTTTATGGACCAAAAGGCAAAATCAAAATCAAGTAGGTATTTGTAAAGCAAAAGATAAATTTCTACAAACTTTTTATTGAAAAAAATCAAATATAAAAATAACTGAGCTCAATTTTTTGTAATGGATTTACCAATTAAAAGAATGGAGTAATTTGTGGTGGGGGAAGTAACATTTCACTTAGTTAAGGTTCAAAGTTAGTGTTTCCTTTTATCAAATTGATTGCAAATTTTAATCTATTAATGCTGATCTGTAATGAGATTTTACACATTTGATTTTTGAAAATGTTTTTCCACACAGATAGGTACTGCTAAATACTAAAATTAAATTATTTTAATTGAGCATGTTTACTAATTGGAAGGCATGTATAGAATTCTTTAGATTTTCCTCTTGATATTTACCTTTTATTATTTCACTCATGGCAAATTAATCACTTGTAATTGAAGATTAGTGGAAGCTCCTCAACTGTACAGTTACATGGACTTTGAAATACGGAAATTTACTTTACACTTGTGGGAGCTCTGGAGAAAACTGTCTCAATTGTAGTTTGAGCTCAAGTAATATATCTGCTCCAATTTGTGTTCAATGAAGGCCTTGCTTCTTGTTTTAACTTCTCACAGCATTTTTCTAAAAATTATTTCTTGTCATTGTGCTGCTGTTTTCTAAATGACTTTACGGCAGTACAGATTTCACATTTAGGATTGTTTTGCCTTGCAATTTTAGGTTAAATTCATTAAGAACCATTACGAAGTTTACAGCAAAAACTAATTTCCAAAGCCAGTCAATGTTCAATCACAGACAGTGGTTGAAGGTGTTTCTTCTCAGCAAAACTTCAGTCTGGGCTCTAAGTTCAAAATACCACTTCTGGTAAAAAAGTTCACATAACTAATGACGGTTAAGTCTATAAGAGCAAATGAAGCTCCCCACTGACACTGCCAGTTCAATAACACATAAGTTCAAATATGCTCTGCAAAGTGCTTGCTATTTAACAACACAGTGCCTAACCATAGAATTCAAACACCTTGCAGGGGTGTCCAACCTTTCGGCATCTCTGCACCACACTGGAAGAAGAGGTGTCTTGGGCCACATAGTAAATACACTGCAACACATCTGCACACACACAAAAAAATCTCATAATGTTTTAAGTAAGTTTATGATTTTATGTTGGGCCGAATTCACAGCCATCCTGAGCTGCATGCAGCCTGCCGGGCACAGGTTGGACACCCCTGAGAGTTTCACGACCTTTATAAATTAATCCAACTAAGCCTTTTTATGCTTCACACATATTTTTACTATGAACAGTTACATCTTAGCAGATTCCACTTCAAGTTGTACTGAATTAGTGGGGTTTTTTCCAACTTCAAAAATATTCTCTCCTGGAGTTGCTCTACACAGACTTTTCACAGAGGCTAACTCTTCAGTCACCTCAAGCTCTGTATTAACTCCTCAAACAAACTATAACTGAGTGGTATCACTAACATCTGGCAACTCAAGAAATCACTTGCCTTGCTTTCAAATTGACTATGTTTCTTCCAATGTTCTCAATCCTTCAAGCAATTGTTCTTGCCAAAGATTACTAGTCAAACAAATATATTTTCTCTGAACACATTTCTTCAGCTATGGCGATCAAATGCAATTTAATTAATTCACTGTTGGTAAGTGGCTTTCTTTGCTTTATAAATAAGCCACTCGAAAACTTATTTTGGTTGAAGTTCAATTTTCACTTTTTATTTTTATGAAAAAATTTTGCTATGATGAGATATGCCATTTTAAATGTTCTAATTTTCTGACCATTGCTTTTCTGTGAGTTGGGAATATCATGCTAAGTATTTAGTATAGTAATGTCAATGTATATTTGTATTCTTTTAGTAGAGCTATAATGTCACTGCATAATAAACATGATGCTTTGCATTTTGTTAATGCTGTTGACACTCCATTTTGCTCTAAAAGTACAACATTCAAAGTCCAATTTTCTTTTCTTGTTTTTACATGATGAGTGTGCACTGGTTACAAAAAATAAAATTGTCGCAATACAGAAATACAGTTGGCACTTAAAATGCTGTCAAATTACAACTGTATCACTGTGCTTTGTCACACATGCTGCCAACAGTCTGAAGTATTGAGAGCACCAGATAGAGTCTGTCACGACTACTCAATTCTGCCATCGTAGAATAAAAGCAGTGATATACAAAGCATAAATGAAGGGGCAGGGCTGTGTTTCAATAAAAACAGAAATTTGAATTCCATTTAAATTTGAATTCCATTCAAATTTAACATGTCACAAAATATTATTCTTTTTAATTTTTTTCAATGACTTAAAAATGTAAAAACCATTCCTAGATCATGATCTATACAAGGTGGTGGGCAGGACTTGGCTTCCAGGCTGTAGTTTTCCAACCATTAATTTAATATGTACTAGGTCTAATTTGTAAAGCAAAGGAAATAAAAGCAATAGAGAACAAAATGCAAGAATATGACAAACAGCTTGAGGATATACATATGTATATGTATATAGCCTGACTTGATGCTAAAAAAAATATGTAAGACTACAAGGCAATCTTTTATGAAGTCTATTTTAAATGTACATGCAATATTTGTTCAAATGAATTAGTAAATTTTATAAATAAATTTTCATTTTATTTTATTTTTAATCCTACCTGAGGGAATATTTTTTCATTGCTTTTGGAGAGGGGGAGAGAGAGAGAGAGACATCAATGTGAGAGAGAAACATTGACCAGTTGCCACCCACACACCCCCCAAGACCAGGGATCAAACCTACAACCAAGGTATGTGCCCTTACAGAAATCAAACCTGCAACCTTTCAGTTATGGGTAACACTCCAACCAACTAAGCCACACCAGCCAGGACCCAAAAATAAATTCTTAAAGCAAAAATTCTTTTATATAATAACCATGTCCTGATGTGCCTATTTGTTAGATAAAATACATATTTGAAGGAGAGAGAAAAAAAGCATATATGCCAAACTCAACATCTGGTGATAGAAAATTTCATTTAATAAAAAAAATTTCACATATTTGATTTCCTCAAAAAAGTGTTTCCAAGGACTCTTTTACAGTGAGGTTTCTTGTATTTTTCACTATTTTGTTAGTTCCATGAGGCCAAAGAGCATATTTGTTTTAAACTTCTTACTATTCTCCCAGAAGCTACTATACTACTAAATATAACTAGGAAACAATGCCATAAACTTAATTTCCTTAATCTGGTTTTTGAAAAGTATCAATATTTTTTAAAACCATATCAAATATACTACTTAATGGTTAATCAGGAACTAGACAAAGATACCTGCCATCGCCACTTAATTCAATATTATACTACTATGCCCTAACCCATTAACTAAGGCAAGGAAAATCTTAAAAGAATAAGGATTGAAAAAGAAAAATTAGTACCATCAGACTACATGTGTATAACACTTAGCAGTGTTTATATGCTTTACATGTAGTTCTACTCAATACTTGGCAATAGTCCTGTGAAAACAAATATTTGTTTCCATTTTATAAATTAGGAAACTGAAGTTCAGAGAATTTAAATTTATTTGTAGGACAAAAAGATGACCAGTATAGCTAGAGCAAAAAATGAAAAAAGAAGAGTGAAAGGAGATAAAGTTAGAGAAATGGCATAAGCCAGAGAGTTGGGTTAAGAATTAAGATTTTACTCTGGTTGCAATAAGAAGCCATTCGAAATTTTAAGCAGAAGAGACACAAGATCTGATTTATACCTCAAAAATAGACTGGTTATGAAGCTACTGCAGTAGTGCAAGCAAGAAATGATAATGACCTAATTATGACTGTAATAGTAGTAAAGGTTAGCAGTGGTAAGATTTAAGATAATTTTAGAGGTAAAGATGACAGGACTTTGGGGAGGGGAGAGAATTGTGTTAGATTAAAGGGAATATGGAGTCACAATAGGTACCCCCCATCCTACCCCAGATGATTATACTGAGGCAGGATTAAAGGTCAATAGGGAAAATGCAACAGAAACAGATGATGAATATTAAGGGATAATTCCAGGAAGGGATAACTACAAGAGTAAAGTTCTTGAGATGGCCAGAGTATACAGAATACAGGGCATATATGAAGGGCTTAGCCACGGTGGGATCAAAGTCATTTTTCCAGAATACCATGAAGGATAACAACATAATGAATAACAGACAGAGCTAACTTGATATACAAGAGTATTTGGAGGCAGAGGTAGCTGCCATCTGTCCGTGTACATCTACTTTGTCCATAAAGTGAAACTATAGCAGGTGAGATTGGCCAAGTAGGTTTTTGTGGGGTTTTGTTTGTTTGTGGCTTTTGAATTTTTATTTGGTTGATTAGTTTGTCAGTTTGTTGGTTTTATTTTGGTTTGGTTTAGGGATTCTGGTAAGGAAGTGGGTATTAGTAATTTGAGGAGAAATAAAATCTCAAATAACTCTCTCAAAGAGAAAAAGGTGAATTTACTAGAGAACTATAAAATGGGACTGTATGGCAGTGTTAAGTATATGTTCAATGTTTACAATCATAGATATTTTAAAATAAGCCTGGTCAACATGCTGTATGATTTTCCTCTACCAAATTCAGCCTTCCATTTGCAGGCATAGATTAAGCACATAAATGTTAAACCAAGTGTTAACCAAGATAGGGTTTTACCAGTCACTGATTAAGCATATAATTATATTTAAACAAAGTACGGTTTGCCAGACAAGTAGACTGGAAAAGAGGGCAAAGAAGTTAAGAGAGTCTACAAGGGATGGTCATTGGGCTAGAGCACAGAACCTAAACTAAGTTCAAATCACAAGCAAGCAGGGCAGTTTGAAAGTCATATACCTGTATGATCCTTCTTTGGACCCCAAGTCAAACAAACAAAATATTTTTAAAGAAAGTGATATTTATGAGATAACTGGAAACTCAATGCTTTTATATTTAATATTTTATGATATTAAGAATTCTTTTTAAAGAAACAAATTAACAAACAAAAGAAAAAAAGAAGCCCTCACAGATACAGACAACAGATGGGAGGTTTAGAGAGGAGAAGGGGTAGAGGAAGGGTCAAATATATGATGATGGATGGAAACTGGACTATTGGTAATGAGCACACTATAGTGTATACAGATATCAAATTATAATGTTTTATACCTGAAATTTACATAATGTTATTAACCAATGTTAACCTCAGGATTTTTTTAAATTCTTTTTTAGCTTTTATAATTATTGTATTAACTTTTTCAAGTCTGTTATGGATAGATATATTTGGAATATACCTTAGAATAATAATACAGAAGGTAGATAAGTAGGCATCAGTAAAAATGAAATAAGATTGACCATGAGTTACAGACTGTTTAGGTTGTATGACAGTATATGAGGGTTCATTACATTATTCAGCCTACTTTTCTTTATAGATCTGAAATTTTCTATAATGAAAAGTTAAAACATGAAAAAAAAATAAGTCACATAATTTTATTAAAAATTAAATCTATCTCCTGGCTGGCATAGCTCAGTGGATTGAGCGCGGGCTGCAAACCAAAGTGTCGCAGGTTCGATTCCCAGTCAGGGTACATGCCTGGGTTGCAGGCCATGACCTCCAGCAACCACACATTGATGTTTCTCTCTCTCTCTCCCCCCCTCCCTTCCCTCTCTAAAAATAAATAAATAAAAAATCTTTAAAAAATTTAAATCTATCTTTGGTAAATTATAGCTCATAGTTTTAAGGCCTGAAAATGCTTAAAATCTGTACACATATAGATTTATTTTATCATAATTTGCATATTTCAATACACAAAAAAAGCCTGGGTACTATAAGGTTAAAGAGAAAGATGTAATTAATAAAATAAATCCAAAGATGTATAACCATTTTATTCCAGAATAATGTAAGTTTTCTATAAGATTAATTTAACAAATACAATTTCTCTTGACTTAAGGAAATGAATTATTTTGCTTTCTGTAAGTAAAAATTCTAAATGAACAAGGCAACACAAAGAAAAATAGAACCATCTTGATTATTCATGACCTTTCTTTTTTTTAAAGAATTCATCCTTTGTTTTTCAATTTATTGATTTTAGAGAGGGGGAGAGAGAGAGCTATCAAATTTGTTGTTCCACTTATTTGTGCATTCATTAGTTGATTCTTGTATGTGTGCTGACAGGGAATCAAACCCACAACCACCTTGGGGTATAAGCATGACACTCTTAACCAACTTAGCTACCTCTCCAGGGTTATAACTTTTTTAATACGTCACAGTAAACAACTCTTCAATATTTACTACATTGTCATTGCAATATACCATTTCACAACCTATTATTTAATTAGAAACCAATGCACTATGAGTTTTCTAATGCATTTATAAAAACTTAGAAATTAAACTTACTATTTCTTTCTGTTCTCTTGGAAAAGAAGTAAATAAGAACAGTTCTTATGCTCCAGATGCTACAGAGGAGGCAAAATTCAGAAACAAAAAACATCATTAGGATAAGTAAATTAGAAGCCATATAAAATGAAAACAAATACACATCTCCAAATAGAGTTAGGTCCATTGTTTCCTTTGATATGTTAAAAATCAAAAAGTATTCCTTTCTTTCAGAGACAATCAGAAGTCCACCTGTGCTTTCAAAGGAGAAGTTCTCAATCTAAAATCCATGGACCTTCTGAGGGTCCTCTTTAATTGCAAAAGTGCCTTTGTGTACATAAATGCATTTCTCTGGAGAGACTACTGCTTTTATTATTCTCAAAGGAGTCTATTAACCCTACAAAGATTAGGAACAAATTTTAGAATCCCTTCTTACTAAATAAGCATCAACTCCAAAAATGTATCTATTCCCATGCATTTAGGGAAAAGCATGTTTTCAAAATCCAGAGCATTATATGAATGTAAGTTGCTACTCCTTCCCTATCATTTAACATTGGAGGGATCTTCTCTACTAAATAGAATAAGCTATCTGGAGAGGTAAAAAAATTAATTTCAAAAAAAACATTGATAAGTTAATTTAGCTAAATACTTCCTTCCAAAAACTTTATGATAATAACTGTTTAAACCTTGCATTAATAAGACTGTAAATAATAGTAAAAGAATTTAAAAGAAAATCAAAAACTAATCCTAATCACAAGATTGTTGAGGTCATCTTCTAAATTTAATGTAAATACAGCAAAATACCTCTTTCTTCATAGAACATGGCAGAATAAGTATACAAACATTATTCATCAGTTTATAAAAGAAATACAATGTATCTTAATATAATTTTTGTTTCTTTTTTATTGCTGTTCAGTTAAAGTTGTCGCCATTTCCCCATCACCACTCTCCTTCACCCCACCCACCCTCCACTTCCCACACTCAATCCTACCCACCCTCTGGCTTTGTCCATGGGTCCTTTGTACATGTTCCTTGACTACCCTTCCCTTCTGAATATAAATTTAGGTAAGTATGAAACTTAGTTCATTACTCTAAAATATCATTGCTATTCTTGAGAGTCAGCCTGCAAAGTGGTCACAAATGAACCATGTATCCTGGTATTCACATCTTTGTGTAGTCCTTGCTCACCAGTGTTGATCTGTGTGACCAATAGCATATGGCAGAAGAGACAGTGTGTCACATCAAGATTAAGTTATAAAAGGCTACAGCTTCCATCTTGGGCCTCCTCTTCCACTATCTTTCTATCTCTTGGATTACTCAGTCTAAGAGAAGCCAGGTGCTATGAAATGAGGACATTCAGGGGACTCTACAGAAATGCCCATGTGGTGAGGAACAGAGGTCTCTGGCAAACAACCAGTGAGGAGCTGAAGTCTGCCAACAACTACACGTGTGAGTATAAAAGTAAATTCTGCAGTCTTGGTTAAGCCTTGAGATGATTATAGCCCCAGCCAACAGCTTAACTGAAATCTATACACCCTTCATATGAATAAAAGATCCTGAGCCAGAACCACCCAACTAAGCTGCCTCTCAAGAACTGTGAGAGATAATAAACATTTGTTGGTTTAGGCTACTAAATTCTAGACAATTTGTTACCCAGCAATAGGTTAATTAATACATACTTTTTATATTGTTATAATTTATTTTTATGATCTAAAAACACTATAACCAGCACCAGATTCCCACATAGTATTTGGACAACTATCTACACAGTAATTTAAAAAAGAAAAACAAACAACAACAACAAAAAACCATAAGCATTGTCCTTATTAAGGAAAGAAGGATGAAAGAAGAGGTTAAACATACTTCTCATAACCCTCAAGGATCCTACAACAGTAGAAAAGTACCATAATATTTCTCCACTTCAAACACACTGAAACAACAACAAGCTGAGCAAGATGATTTAGTTAGAAAAAAAGTACAGGGAAAGAAAACAGAGAACACCAGAGAAAGGACTGCAGAGATAGTGACTGGAATTCTGTAAGAAATCAGTACATGTTCTTAAATGAGCAGATACCTTTTAAAAAGCATATGTACTTTTCAAAGTGTGAAAACTACAAGAATTGAAATAGACTCCCTTAATTCAAAATAAAACTTATTAATCCCTCTAGGTGGACAATAAATTCCCTTTTTGGTTTTTATAAGAACTAGTGCAGGAGAAAATGAGCTATCAAATTTCCATATGTCAGTCTTCAAGATTTGAAAAGATACAACATATAAGTGATTCTTTAAGGTTAAATTAAATTCTTGGGTATTTTTAAAATAAAATCTAGAGCCCTGGCTGGCATAGCTCAGTGGATTGAGCGTGGGCTGCAAACCAGGCATCACAGGTTCGATTCCCAGTCAGGGCACATGCCTGGGTTGCAGGCCACGGTCCCCAGCAACCGCACATTGATGTTTCTCTCTCTCTTTCTCTCTCCCTTCCCTCTCTAAAAATAAATAGATAAAATCTTTTAAAAAAATAAAATAAAATAAAATCTAGAAAAGAATTAAAGTACTTCAGGAATCTATTGTTTTAGTTATCCAACAAACATTTTCCTTTCCGAATAATTAAATATAATTTATGAAAAAATGTGGCAACATAATTCTTTGAAGGTATTAAAATACTCTATTGACTCCTACTTTGAGAACAGTGACATAATCAACATTTCTCCCCCCTCTTCTTAGAAATGATTCAAACAACAATGAGAAACAAGACACATTCCTTTTCTGGTAAAATTAACGTATAGCTAAAGTCCAACCCTCCAAATATGTGGAAGGGCTCCCAAAAGCAATGGATATCATGCAGGGGTTCAAAAGAATGAAAGCAGAGAAGGAAAACTGCTTATCTCACAAAGGTAGCAAGACAAACTTCTCAAAGTGTGAAGCCTAAAATCCCTGTTTATAACAATGAAAGTAAGATAACCATGCTACAAGCAGAAATTTCTCAGTTTGGTCCCAGCAATGACACAGAGAAGGCAAAGCTTAAAGAGAAATCATTCATTCTTTCTGCCAAACTTAACCCTTTTCTGCCAAACCACATAAGCCCTTTCCAATTTATTGAAATGTTGTTAGATGAGATTTAAATACTATATGACACTAAAGATGAAAAGATATATAGGTCTCAATATTTACAATTACATTGACTATTTTGTCTGTTTATCTAACTATTCTGCTTTAAAAAGAATAATCGTCACAATCAGACAGAAAAACAAAACAAAACAATGATTTATTTTGGTATAAGGAATAAGGCAGGAATCAAGCTTTACATTTTATTTTTATCTATTTTTCAATAAAACTCAACACTATTTTCTCCCAATGATTTGAAATATCACTTCTATCATATATTAATATAAAAACCATACATAAAATTCCCACTGGGATTTATTTCTGAATTCTGTGTCTCTTTCTTTGGTCTGTGTCTCTATACACTGTACGAAGTTTTAATTAGTAAAGTTTTATAATGCATTTGATGCCTGATAGCCCTCTCCTTTTCATTTTTCTCCTTTTCTGAATGCTCAAGACTACTCTTATGTGCTTATTTTTCCATTAAAAAATATAGATATATGCCAAAATTTTTAAAGTAGGCTGGTATTTTTATTATGATCACACATTTTTTAACTTAGGGAGAATGGGTCTCATTGCAACACTGAGTCTTCCATTCAAGAATAAGATGTGTCTCTTGACTTGTCTGGTGTGTCTCAGTGGATTGAGTGCCAGCCTGCAAACCAAAGTGTTGCTGGTTGGATTCCCAGTCAGAGCACATGCCTGGGTTGCAGGCCAGGTCCCCAGTTGGGGGCACATGAAAGGCAACCACACATTAATATTTCTCTCCCTCTCTTTCTCCCTTGCTTTCCCTCTGTCTAAAAATAAAATAAATAAAATCTTTTTTTAAAATGGAATAGTTAAAAATTTTTTTAAAAGAATAAAATGTATCTCTTAATTAAGTCTCACTACATAATTCTTTTTTTATTATTTATTTATTTATTTATTTATTTATTTATTTATTTATTTTAGAGAGGGAAGGGAGGGAGAAAGAGAGGGAGAGAGAAATATCAATGTGTGGTTGCTGGGAGTCGTGGCCTGCAACCCAGGCATGTACCCTGACTGGGAATCAAACCTGCGACACTTTGATTCGCAGCCCGCACTCAATCCACTGAGCTACGCCAGCCAGGCAGTACATAATTCTTTAAAAACAAATTCTATCATGAATACCTATTAATATTCAAATATTTATCAATATTGCAAAAGAAATGTGTGCAAAATGATTTTCTGACCTACCAAAGTAAATACAGCTGACCCTTGAACAACACAGGTCTGAACTGTGTGGGTCTACTCATATGTGAATATTTTTCAATAAATGTATTTTCCTTAAGATTTTCTTAATAACATTTTCTTTTCTCCAGCTCACTTTATTTTAAGAATATAGTATATAATATTATACATATAACATACAAAATATGTATTAATCAATTGTTCATGTTATTTATAAGGCCTCTAGGCAACAGTAGGCTATTAGTAGGTAAGACTTTGGGGAGTCAAAGCTATATATGGATTTTTGACTGCATGGAAAGGGTGGGGTTATTGCCCTGAACCCCATGTTCAAGGGTCAACTGTATTCTCCTTGAGTAAATATCAGGAAATGTTCACAAATACCTTCTTCTTTAAGAACCAACTACAGTTGTTGAGAGATACTTTGTATTCTTATTAGAGTGTCATGAAACAAATGTTTAACTTTTCTCAAAAAGCTTCAAATTATGTTTGCCAAATTTCTGGCAGGAATAAGAAAATATGTTACCAGCTAGCTGGGAGGAAAAGTGTACAGAAGATACAAAAATCATGTAAGATCAAAACCCTATCTTCAAATGAGTGTCAATTTAGGAGAACAGCAATCTTCAACCCCTGTGCCACAGCACACTAATGTGCCACAAGAATTTTTAAAACATGCAGTACCTGACTATTTTAGTCAGGGGCACTGAACTCTTTTCCCTTCGACTGTCAAATAAAAAAAATGGTAACAGTCAACACAACAATGGCCATCTAG